TGCCTCCCACCCATTCGACAGGCAATAAAAATGTTGTAAAAATTTCGCCAAAAGTAATTTGTGCTACGGCAGAGCCATTTAAGGGAAAAGCAAAGATGAACGAATGGTTTGATACCCCAAGAAAGGGAGTTTATTTTTAATTCATAGGTATTTCACTTTTTCCTGCATGAATTTTACAGTGAAAAGCTTCTATTTAGGCTGGAACATCTAGCAGATCTAGCAGTAAATTAATTTGATGAGGTAGTGCCTATTTCTTCCCCTTAACCATCCCAACATCTACTTGATTGAACTCCTTCGCTCGACGGATATACCCTTCCAATAGTGCGATACTCTCTGCCAGGCCTTAGTTTTTGGTGGCTGTGGCAGTGAGCGGCAGATTACAAGCGATTGCCACTTGACGATAGGACTGGCAACGGCTACTCCACACAGGTCTTCACCATCTCAGTTTTTTCAGCCATTACCACCCGCATGACCCCGCTCAATTAGTTAGCGCATTAAAGGGGATTCCACAGTGAGGGCAGGGGAGCTAGACCAGTCGAAGAATTTATTGTATAGCCAAGTCCAAGCCCAAGTTGGTTAGCAGGAGGAGTCTCTTATCGGTATAACCAGGCTGTGCTGCCTCACTCAGAGAGAGGGAGAGATATTCGGAATCGAGTTGAGTCGAGTCGAGTCGAGTCTCGTAATTGACTTGTTGCCAAGTAATCGTTGCCTGTTAACTGCTGTTGTCAGGGGATTATCTACAGTTCAGTTGGAATCGACTGTTCCTTCACTGCCTTATTTGTATCCTTGACTTGCACACAAACACACACACACATAAGATTACGGATCCAGGATCCAGAGGCAGAGCTCATTGAAGTGCATAAAAAGTGAAAAACAATAAACATGGCCAGGTTTCCAGCCTCAGCCAAGAGCAAAAGCAAAAGCAAAAGAGGAAGTATCAGGTGTGTACTTCGTGAGCAGAAGATAATTCAAATGAAAATGGATTTCATTTTGAATCTCAATTTACGTATAATCCCGAAGCGTAGGAAAAACTGTAGCTGCGCTTCCCCATTCAAGTGTTTTGTTGTCCATGCCCAGTCCGTGCCTCCCCCATCCACACTTCAGCTAATTGGTTCTGAAATGGTCGAGAGTCGTAGATTATTTATCTGATTCTCAGTACTTGGGAGCTCCAACCATCCATTCATCCATCCATCCATCAAATCTCATGGTCAATCTCGGTTGAGGCGCTCCGGAAGTGTGCAACAATCTCTGGCCGCAGCAATCAACGCGCCAAGTTGCCAGCTACTTTTCTCTCTCTCTGTCTCTCGCTCAGCCTCTCGCTCTACCTCTTGTTGTTGCATGTGTGGTGGCAGCCATTTTGGAAGCTTAACCATAAATGTTGCATTCCGCTTTTAAGCTGCAACCTAACGATGTGCTCGGTGTGTACGAGGCTGGGGCTTACCAGCAATTTGGTCTGGCTTTGCCCGAGTCAACGAGAGAGGAAGTGGCAGATGTGGAGGGTGGAGGCTGCCGAAGCGGGAGCAATGCAACATCTGGCCACCTTTTTACACGTGCTTCTCTGGGCCCGCCGCCGTCCTTCAGGCCAACCGCTCATCTCCGGCTAATTCTCTATGCATTTCAGGAATCCACTCTCCGTGAACCAACCCATCCCATTGCAATGGGGCCCCTCGTCGGGGCCCGTCAAGTGGTCCGTAGATGTGGTCCATTCGAATCTTCCCACTGGGCTGGAGCTCATCACATTCCGGGCATATACCTTCTTTAATGGCAGCTGTGAAACATTCTTTGCATTTAACTGAAATGTTAGATAACTCCATTTATTTGCTACCGAGGAGCATCCATCAATTGGATCTACTCCTATATGCTCGCATGTTGCTTGGCTTGATTTCATTTTCCATTTAGTTGCCTTAAATGTGTTTAAATTCCTTCCTGACGCTATGCAAGCGATGGATGATTAACATTTTAAAATTCTTCATGATTGGGAGATGGGTCAGCATCAGCGGGGGGTGTACACCTGTTGACCTTTGGAACATGCTGTTATTACGTGGCCTTTTGCGTACCCACAACATCTGCAGCCACACCCACACAAAGAGGGAGGAGCAATCACACACACACACACACACACACATACAGGAGAGACCCAGCCATACACTGGACAAAAAAAAGGGAAGGAAACCCTTTCTGTTTGTAGGAGGAGGAGAATGAAGAGTCGGGTACCAGGATATACATATATAATTATAAATTTAGTTTCGGTTTTTGCCATCAGCAGCAAATCATTATCACAGTGAACAACAGTGAATTTTCTTTCTGTGCAGTTGACTGACATCCTCGCTTCGTGTTTCGCGGTGCTTCCTTTTTTTATTCCCTTTTTTTGTCGACCATTCAATGAGCTTTTAAGAGCGCTAATTAAAAATGTGGCAAGTGCAACCGATGCAGACACCTCCCCTCTGGTGTCTGAACACACCCTCCTGCCCAGCACTTCACTTCACTTCTCCACCTATCCTTTAGTTCCCATTAAGGTCTATAGCCATAATGTGGCTGTCGTCGCTGTCTCGTTTTCTATTGCCTGCTCTGGAGGGAAAGCGTAATTAACGCCTTTACTCTTGGCATTGGTACAGGCCATGCTACATTCCACATTCCATTCCACACACACACACACCCATGCAACACACCCCTGAAGCCACAACCCCTCTAGCCATCTACGCCTCTTGTGGCTATTGCGGCTTTGTCTGTGTGGGAAACGTTTTTAGATTGCATATTTATTAAAATGCAGCAAAGTTGCAGCCACAAAAGCAGCAGCCAGCAGCAGCAGCAGCAGCCAGCAGCACAAGATGAAAGAACAAACCCAAGATGAGCACGAGGAGTGGCTCTGCAGGAAAAGCTAAAATGTAATAACTCTTGTTGTTCCCAACCCTCCGCCAGCCCCTCATTCTTTGGCCATGCATTTCCGTAAGCAGCTTTTGTCCGCAGGTGTTTTTCCATTGTGTTGGCTCAACGCTTAACGCTCGATGGGCTGCGATGGCGGGGGATGCCACAAGAATGGTATGGTCTAACAGCCAGCATTCTCTTTCGCAGCCAAGGATTTTTCAAGACCAAGCTGCTTATTATCAGAGCGGAACAATAAAGAAAGAATAGCTGTGGCAACGAAGGTTTAGATACCCTTAACGATTAAGCGTTTCTATGGCAGCATCAATGTCGGATAACTTTTGTTGAGATATGTATAAAAAAAATATATATTTTTTCCAACGATTTGTTCGACTATTTTATGCAACCTATAGGATCGAAGAACCATGAAAATGATGGTATCCGCTCCAAGGGTATGCCGAAAAGTGAAACTAATAAGCTTATGAAAGGGAAAAGCTGCACACCGTTCCCGAGCACCGAACCTCTCTGGGGCCCCAGCTAATTGTGAGCTAATTCTAATTATCAGCAACACATTCGAGAGTCCTGCTCCGGCTTCTGCTTCTGCTACTGCTACTGCTCCTGCCAGCCAGCTCCTAACGAGTGTTTATTAATGGCGCTAATGGCAAGCGACGCCTTTGATGAGCGTAAAATGCTTAAGCACACAGATCCTTCCCAAGGTCCTCTTCCCCTTGCTCCTGCTCTCCATCATCCATCCTCCCGGCTACCGGCTGCCGTCTGCCGGCTTTGGCTCCTCTTTCAGGCCACGCAATTAGCGCACAAATATTTCCGCATACATTTCTTTATACCAATTTTTTTTCTCTCCTTTTTTTCCCTTTCAGTTTCCTTGCCTTTTTCACAGCTTTGGCCATAAAAATGCTCAACCGAATTGTAGTAATTACAACAATTTGCATAACAGAGAGAGAGATGGAGAGTGAGCGAAAGAGAGCGAGATAGAGCAGCAGCAGCCAAAACGGAAATCAAAAAGCGCAAAGCAACCGAACGGCGCTCACAAAAGTATGCTACGCATTTTTGCAATTTATTCATGCAGACAAATGGCAAAAGGAGGAAGGGAGAGAGAGCGAATTAGTGGGGAAAGGACCTTCCCAAAATATACCAAAAATAATACAAGTGGGGAAAGAGAAAAGAAAACGCTAATTATGTAATATGAAAATGCGACAACAACGCTGAATTATTTGCATATGGCAACCCTTTTTTTTTGGAGATCCTTTTTTTTGCGTGGGTAATATTTTTGCGGCCATTAACAAATTCAATTAACACTCTGCATACGGCTGAGAATTTTGTGATTTTCATTACCATTTCCCTTAGCGAATCGCAATGCAAAATGAAAACCGAAATCCTTTCTGGCAGCCCAGCCCGATGCTGCAGTTGAAGTCCCAATTACTGCAGCAACTTCACAATTGAATAACTTTCAATCGAATCCAATGGGGAGAGAAAGAAAGAAAGAAAGAAAGCCTTTTGCCAGGCATCTGCATCGTTTGTTGTCGATTAGTGCACTAGCCGTACACAAGAGAGAGAAAACCTGTATGTGAAATCATAAATACCTGAAGCTTAAGAGGAAAGATGTGCTATGCTATGCCTATGCTGGAGATCAAATGTGATTTAAGGGACATCCTTCAATAAAATAAATAAATTGGTTATTTTTACATTGAAATTGAAGAGGTTATATTCTGGAAGCTTAAGTAGCGATTCACAGCAGTGCACTGCTAAGGGATTGGGATAAGAACAAATATTCAAATAAACGTGAAGTTACATATAAATTGTTACTTTCCTTCACAAAAACCAAACGAGCGGAGAAGAGCTCCTTTTACCATTTGTAGTACTTACGTGTTTGCCTATTTGTAATTTTAGTACATTTATTTGTACTTCACAAACAACAATCACAAAGAATTATTATTTTTATTAAGAGAGGTAGAAAGAAGAAAATATTAAGATTGAAAACTCAAATTTAATTGATTTATTTCCTCAGCTCTGCCTCACCCTTCTATAGTGTCTAGAAACTCAACTAAAAGTGGACTAATGCTTTAAAAGATCCAGAATCCAGATATTTAAAGGTTGATGTCGAATCAGCAGTAGAATTTTGAAGTCATTTTATTTGTATCAAGGCATAACAATTTTTTGATGATCAACAAAACAAGTTTTTTGTATATTTAGTAAGTTTCGTTGCGAGTTAATGTTGTCTTCGATTAAGTAATATTATCACTTGATCCCTGGCTTAAGAGATCGTCTGTAGCTGCTGGCTCAAAGTTGGCTGCCATGCGCTTTGCCGTTTCGAGATACTTTTGCGTCTCTTCCTCGCTGAACACTTTGAATTGAACGTCTTTGCCCACGATGGCCACTTGTATCTTGAGGTTATTCTCGTTGCCCAGCGGTTCACGAATGGCCTGAATGCCGTGGCAAATTAGGTCGTCCTTCGAGCAGCCCTCAAAGTCTTGCGTGTGAAGCTCCAGGTAGTTGCGAGCAATCTGCGAACGCGACCCAATCGCAGTGGCCAGGCATTTGGTGACAGTGGCCGATGGCATTATCTGGTAGAGGTGTGAGCCCTGTTCATCATAGCCCGCCACCAAGAGGCCAGCCCCAAAGGGACGACGATCGTAGCGGTTGGTGTAGGCTTGCATCTTGTTGCCCAGATTGATCATCAGTCGGTGCACTGGCATTTCACCGATGTACGAATAGCGATAGGTTAAGGCCTGGGTCAGCATATAGCGGCAGAGTGTTTTGGCATCTGGAGCCACACCCGCAAAGGTCATGCCCAGCTGCAAATGCACTGGTATAATCTTTCGCTGCATGGACCCTTCATCCGATGGCTCGTAGAGTGAAGTCAGCACTGTGAAGTCCTTGTTCTTTAGTCCCACGGTGACCTCGCCTTTCTTCACTGCCTCCATGGCATACTCCACCTGGAATATTCGCCCCTGAGGGCTAAAGACCGTAGTATCGTTGTCATACCGATGGCGATTCATGGTCCAAGAAATCTGCAAACTTTCCGTAGCTTCCGAATATTTATAATACAATTTCACACGTACGAAAGGAAATGACAAGTCTGACAAATCGAATAACAGCAAGTCATTCTATATAAATGACAGGAAAATAGGAAAAGATAAATAAGAACTATCGAAGTTGCGATAAAAAAGAGAAGGAACGTGTGAGTAGCTTCTGTGGACGCGACTCTACTTTTATACCCGTACTCAGTCAGTATATATAAATTTGTGAGCTTATGATTAATGCAGAATTTTAAAATATTTTATATGTTACATTTTTTGCTACATTTGTTATCTACATCTACAAATTTCTACATCTACGAAATTTTTAAATACTCTTGTAGCAGTGTTATATCACATGAGTCTGAAAACAAAATTTGGTTGCTCTAGCTCTTATAGTCTCTGAGAACTAGGCGACAAACAAGACGGACGGACAGACAGACAGACGGACAGACGGACAAGGCTCGGCTATTGATGCTGATCAAGATATATATATACTTTATGGGGTCGGAAAAGTTTTCTTCTCAGCGGTACACACAAATACAATATACCCCTTACGTCTTCGAGTAAGGGTATACAAAATCACTGATTTTTGTATATCTTTCGGGATCTTTTTTCGATTTCATTCATTTCATCATTCACGACATTTGGCGACTGAAGGATGTTAATCCGTATTTTAAATTTATATTTTGTATTTGTATTTTTCATCCTAGCGCGACAAGCATATAAATACTTATAAATTAAGGCGCTAGTAACAACAATTCTAAAAGTTATTAACATTTACAAAAAATTCAGAATACATAGAAACATTTAAGAGTACTTACAGTTAGAAATAGTAGCCAAATTATTGGCCCGTTTTACATATTCTATGGGGATATTTTCAATCGATAATTTTTGTAGAGTGTCAGTGTTGAACTGTCTTTTCCCTATGACTATACATTTTGACTTATTTGGGTTTAATCCTAGCCCATTGATTTTTGCCCACTGACTTACGGCTTTTAATTCACTATTACACACACGAACACAGTCATTAATTCTACCAATAGGACGACTGACATACATTTGAACGTTTGTCAGTCAAGAGTTTATTATGCCAATTATGCCAATGCTAATGTCAAGCACGAAAGTCACAAATGTCCATATAAAACTTTTGCGAGCGTAACGCCAACGGAACTGCGGTATATGTCCCAGGAAAGTCCTCAGGACTTAAATATTAATTTATAATTTATCATAGGCTATACGAGTATACTGAAATGGCAACTCCTAATAAGGACAGCATTAATGCGGATCGATTATACGAATGTTTTATTATTAAATTTGTAAGATAAGGGCGGCACTGTTCCCAAGTATAGTTCCGCAAGAGGTTCAGCGACTGCCTTTGGATTACATCCCATCTGTCAATGTGTAACCGAGTGATATTTAATGAGCACTGCACCAGAGTGGTGCTTAAATACACTGGGCCCAATTCACTAAAATATTATTCCAGCTGCATTTTAATCTTCCGAGGAAACTCTTTCCATCTTCTTCTATTGCATAGCACTGCTACGCTATACGTAGCGTGACCTTCAATCAAGGCAGGGCCTTCAATATTTTTATGTTCCTGGTATCAGCTCCGTATCATTTATTTATGGACCGCCATTTTTTAAGTCATTCCCAATCGATTTTACACTCACCTGATCGGCCGTTCATGCTCATGAATCCCTCCCTCCTCCATTCGAAAAAGCCAACTGAATCATTGCATAATACCCATGTAGTATATAAATTTCCACTGCCAAATGGCTGAGCAGAATTATTAAAATAAAGCAAAAGAGTTGGGCGTTAATGTTGCATATGCCCCGAAAAAGTTCCCGTTGAAAACGGAAACGGAAACGAGCGCGTGAAATTCGAATATGCTGCTTACACTACCACATATGCTTGGATAGTAGCTCTGTGGATCCTCATTCCCTTCATACACCCCTCCCCATCTGTGTGGCAAAAAACCAATTTCAATTTGTTAACCATTTTTTTATTCCCAATCAAATTTATTACACGGCATAACACAACCAAAAAAGAATAAGGGAGATATGGTTGAGTCGGGGAAGAGATGGAAAACAAATTCGCAATCGCCTCTTATTTTCTTACAAAACATATACATACATATATATCCATCCATGTGTGTTTGTGTGTGTGTGTGGTGACTACACCACTCACTGTCTCTCTCTCTCTCTCTCTCTCTATCTATCTCTTTCTATTTTCTTCATATGTACGAGTATGTGTTTGCAGGACAATTAAAACGAGGCAAACACTGGGCCACTACTACACGACGGGGATGGCTGCAGGGAGAGAGAGAAGGAGTGAGTGTGAGAGCATATGACGAGGTGGTATAGCTGGAGGCCCGCCCGGCCCTAGTAAATGGTAATCAAGGCAAATCCTCCATAGAGCACCGCACACGGATAGGCAATCAGCATCTGTTGATGGTCCATGGAGAACGCTGTGGCGAACAGTTTCGAGGCCGATATGGCGCACCAGAATATGGAGATGCCGCTCACAATTAGGCCGAGTGTGCCCCTGCAAAGTGATATGGTAGAGAGAGCAGTTGAGATAGATGGATGTACCGTTATGGGTAGTGGCAGCAAGAGCCAGCCAGCCCCATAGATATAGCGCTAAAATCAATAAACAATGCATATGCATGAAGCAGACGATAGAGAAGCGGCGAAACAGCAGCAGCGAAACAGCAGCAGCAGCAGCAGCAACAGCAACAGCAGAGGATAGAGTATACGAGTGACTGAGTGTTTCATACAAAAAACAGAGAAAGAAAAGTGAGTGTGCGCGTGAGTGTGTTCGAATGAATGGGCAGGGCAAACAAAGACAGCAGGCGGCTGTGCAAAGGATGTGCAAACACAGTCCCACTACAAAGCACACAGCTACGGCCACCAGAGTGCAGGGAATGAAAAATTGATATATAAGCGATGTGTTCGGCCTACCTACGGGAAACTAACTACGTACCATAAGGGCATACTACAATACAGGACGGGCAGCATGATGAATATGCTTATACGTAGACCAGTTGTCGTTTGCGGCAGCATGTAATCCCAAGATGGAAACTCAAATTACGTCAAAGGAATTTCTTAAACGACTCTTATCGCTCATTGATAATATTTGATAACATATTCAGATTTTGGTCTAGGAGAAAACGCTGTTGAAGTATATTTTGGACTTAAATGCACTCAATCGATAGTTGAATCAAAGCGAACAACATATGATAGCTAACGAAATTTATTGTTGGTTTAATTTATTTAATTTTACGATTGGTCCAGTGTATTCGTTTCTCAAGATACATATGTAGATATTTTTAACAAAATAAAATTTGTTTATTTTGTGCAATAAGTCTCCTTTATCACCTTGCTCAATTTTATACTTAAGAAATACCTGCTCCTCAATTCACAATTATAGATAGATGGATGGATAGATTGGTGGATATAGACAGAAAAATTAATCTTAAATTCCTTCATTCAGATACAAATTTTTAGACTACTATAAAAAAATTAGCAACGATTCTACGGCCAAGCGGCGAGACTCGACTCGATGCACACGACATGTATTTTGTTTTTGTATTCTCGGGCATTCTCTTTTGAATATTTCACTTGTGCTGCTGGCTGGACTCAGTTGTCGAAGAATAAACCTCAGAGCATTGGTAGCACTAATAGACAAAAGAGTGTTTTCTGCTTCACAAATATTGTTTAATATTTGTCAACATATTAAAGAAATTTGTGTTCACTCATTCTTCTGCTGTTAACAAACACATTATATTTTCTTAGCAAAACTACTTGAAATACCCTCTAAGAACACACACATTATCAAACCAAGCAAACAGTTTCGTCAAGCCACTTCAAATGTTCCATCAAAACACTTTGCGACCATTAAATCAAAGAAAAAGGAACAGCCCTAAATTATTGACATTTTATTTTACATTGGTGGGGCAACAAAAACATTTCAGTAAAGTTGAAACAAATTTTTGCCATATTTTCCCAAGTTCTACAAACAAGAAATCCCCAAAATATCTGTGCATATTTTTTAAAGCTGAAAATATCTTTACAGTTATATTTTTGAAAACCAAAAACTGTACATACACTCGTATGAATCAAAGGTTCTCATATTCCGTGCCACGCTTCCATGCTGGCATTTAATGGATTGCCTCTTTGTGGTCTCAGCGGCTCAGCTGTCACCTGGTGGCGGTTCACCCTGTCAGCTTCCTCCTGACTCCTCCTGCTGCAATCTTTGTCCAACTTTGTTTGTTGTTCCATATGCCATACCATGGTTTCCCTTGTGAAGCCAAGTGATTTTTTGGCCCCGTCACAGTGCTTGTAGCGCTCAAATGGTCTGGACCAATGCATTAACCAGTCCCACGCCCACCCCCAAGCCCTGGCCTAAAAACCAATCAAAACAATACTAACCCATCAGGCGGTATATATCCCAAATAGCCCATCCCCTTCCTATAAAGGATAACTCGACTGTCTGTGTAATTTTTGCGCACTTTTGCATCACCAAACAAACTCAATTAAAAAAGTCTGTCCAAAGAACAAGAAAAAAAAACGAATGAGAAGGGAATCGCAAAAATATTTACTGTAAACTTGGCTGGAATTCCTATGGAGAGTATATGAACATCAACGCCAACTCACACACCCCCTCTCTCTGTCTCTCTGTCTTTCTAGTATACGGACATGCACACAGACAGATACTCGGACACACACATGCACATATGCAGACAAAGTGCAGGCGCTTAAAACCAACAAATAAAAAATGCAAGCAAACAGGCAACCAAAATGGCAATTGCACGGGGCAGTTGGACAGTTTTTTAGGCGTGGGGGAGTGGAAGGAAAAGGGGGTTCTCTAGAGCGTGGGGGAGGGGCTACAGTGGGGACAGACAAAATGCTGTTGGTGTCGAGTAAACCCGAGAAATAGTTTCTTTTTTTGCACGCTTCCCAGTACCACACTCCCCCCCGCACACCACTCCGTTCTCTCTGTGGAAGACTGAAATTATGACGTGCCAAAGGGGGAGAGAGTAGGGTCTGCAGCAGAGGGAGTGCTTCAGTGG